CATTTGCATCTGTTACAACGGAGTATGAATGGTGAAGACAGTGCCTTGTCGCTTTCTCGCCTGACGGAGGAAGTGAGTACAATCGAGTCCGTCCTCAGTACTTGGGCGCAAAAGGACATTTTCTTTTCCAGCTTTTCTATACCCACGGCGGGTCTGGTGGCGGTATTGTCCGATGCGGCCAGCGATGACACGTGGTACGACGAGTACCTTTGCCTGAATGCAACGGTGACGAACGCGAAGAAGGTCGATGATGGGTTGAAATTGACGGAATCCAACTCCGGGGCAATGTGGCTTGTGAACACTTGGGCTAATAATGTGCGTCATGTATCCTTGAGCCACAACTTCACACTTGTGGCGACGGTGACAATCGAAGAGGCTCCGACTGCAGACGCTCCTCTGCTGGGTGCGATGTTGGTGAAAAATAATTCCTCTCATACCATGGGAATCCTGTATACGGCGAATAAGACGTGGGAGACGATTTTCAAAGGCGAGACAAAACCAAAAACGGAAAGTGGCACTTGGGAGCTTAAGAAAGAATACCAAGTGGCACTCATGCTGCAAGGCAACAAGAGCTCCGTGTACGTTGATGGCAAGTCGCTGGGGGAGGAAGAAGCGCTGTTAACAGGTGAGACACCACTTGAGCTTTTATACTTTTGCTTTGGCGCGTGCGATACGAAAAACTCTCCTATGACGGTGAAGAACGTCTTTCTGTACAACCGCCCACTGAATCCCACTGAGATGACTGCAATCAAGAAGAGGATCCCCGTTCCGACGAGAGCTCCAGAACCACAAGTAAAAATTGCTCCTAATCCTATCGCACCTGCTGTGTCTGCTGTACCTGCGGTGTCTGCTGTACCTGCGGTGTCTGCTGTACCTGCGGTGCCTGCTGTACCTGCGGTGTCTGCTGTACCTGCGGTGCCTGCTGTACCTGCGGTGCCTGCTGTACCTGCTGGGAATGAAGGGACGGCACGAGAAACGGGTGATGGTGGGGCAAATGGTGATGCCGGCTCCGTGTACGGGAGCGGACTGCTGCCGCTGCTGCTTCTGCTGGGGCTGTGGGGTTTTGCGGCTGCGTGAGGAGTGTGCGGCCTCAGTGTGGAGCACTTGTGCCATTCCCTGCACCGACACTCACACACACCGCTAGGAATAAATTTACTACGCAGAGAATAACTTGTTTTTGCTCTATTTTAATGTTTTCCATTTTCCCCTTGCTGCTTTGGGGCAACCATTGTAAGCGTTTTTTTTCCGGCTATTAATTTTCTTTTCTGTTAGGAGCATAATTTCTCATGTTTTTTTATGTTTGTTTTTAATCATTTTTGTTTGCTTTAAAAAATTTTTTTTATTTCTGTTTTTTTTTTTTTACTCCCCATCCTTCTTTTTTGCTTTTGGGGCAATCACGATGGACGTTTTTTCTTTTCTACTCTTCCCTCTTTAATTGTTTCTTCTGCACTCTTCCTGCGAGGGGTGCCGTGTGTTTCCCGCCCAACTGCTCCACTCGCACACCCACCGACACGCTCATGACGACGGCCCTGTGCGCCTCGCCTGCTGCACGCATGAGGCGGGGCCGCGACGAACGGCGCGCTGAGGGAGCCGTGACGTGTGGGCGTGCGACGAGGGCCTGTGGGGCGGAGCACACATTTCTTCCCTCTTTTTTTTTTTTCTTTGCGGCCCATGGCGGGCAGACA